TCTCTCTCTCTGGCTCTCTCTCTTCACCTCTATCTGTCCGTCTTTCTGTCTATCTGTCTGTCTGTCTGTCTGTCTGTCTGTCTGTCTGTCTGTCTGTCTGTCTCTCTGTCTGTCCCTCTCTCTTTTCTACTTTCCCCTTTCGTCTCCTCTCTCTTATTGTGCTCTCTCCTCTCACTCTCTCTCTCACCCTCTCTCTCTCTCTCTCTCTCACTCCCTTACCCGCTCTCTCTCTCTTCCTCTCCCCCCCCTCTCTCTCTCTCTCTTTCACAGACACACACACATACACACACACACACACACACACACACACACACACACATATATATATATATATACACACACACACACAAACATACTCACACACATACATACGCACACTCGCTCTCACTCCACCCCCTCCCACACACATACATACATTTGGATAGATTTATGAGTCCTCCAAGACAAACAAGTGACAGTGATACCTTATTATACACGTACCTTGTAAAACGTGTTAACCAGCTCACCTCTCTGAATACACTGACTGCTCTTTCTAAGCCAGTTTGCAACACTTAATATAAATGGCCCTAGGAATGACTAATATTTAATAAGCCAATTAGCACACGCTTTTACTAAAAACTGCCTCCAGTCTGGTAAGGATATACGGGTTCTTGTGGGGTATGATATAATATAGATTTCAAAGCTTTCGGTCAAATATGAATAATTCTACGAAAACAATCGTATCCATTAAACGTAAAATGAGTAACATTATCAGGTGAAAATCTTTTACTCACCTTCACAAATCGGATGGCGATGATAAGAAAGTCGTCCTTCGAGATATAACCATCGTTATCCACATCAATGAGATCAAACCACCACTTTATTTTGCCCTCCACGAAAGAAGAGAAGGCAGTATTTTCTTCTAAAGAACGTTGTTCATCCATTGCAGTGAATTAATACCGAAGTCAGGGATGAAATGAGAAGCAAAATAATGGTGGAGAAAAACAGTTGAATGCTTGAAGAAATGGAAGACCAGTATCATCGGTTATCAAGTCGTCACAAGATTCGACTAACGAAATGAATATTACTTTTGATAGAACTTTAAACATGTAACTTTAGTAGAGAAAAGGACGCGTTGCCCAACACAATAGGCTCGCAATAATGAACGAATAATACTAATAATAATATACTGTTACTACTGTTATTTATGAATTTACAACGAAAACGAAGGTTATCTTTACGAAAACTAAAGTAGTAAAAGTATTTGCGGCGTCTTTATGTGTTTCATTTATAGAGTCTGCTGAGAGACAATCACGTTTTGCTAATTTTTTTTTCTTTTTGGGGAAAAAAAGGGGGGGGGGGGCAGATACCATCTTTAGTATATGCCTCCTCTTCGTATCGATTCTATCCACTCACTTGGCTATAATCGGGTTACTCATTCGCTGGAAGGGCGTGCCGCACAGTGATAAATGATATTAGGCAATACATTATGCACGTTACTGTCTAGTGTGAGTGGAGCCGGGTCAACAGTTACTGCACATGCTCGTATTTTGAGTAGGTCATTAGGTTGTTGCCTTATTATTTTGGTATCTAGGGATTTGAGGGAATAGTGGGGG